TCTTGCATTACAAAAGAAATTTGAGGCCAGTCTAGACTACATGAAACCCCATATGTCTCAAAAAAATTGTTAAAATGAATTTTCTAGGTAATATACTTGTTTTCATTGTGGGAAATACATGAAGGCTTTTGCTTTTGTTGTCTACAAGGCTGAAGATTAAAACCTAGATCCTTGCATGTGAGGTGGGCATTCTCCTGCAGCTCTACATCCTAGCCCTTTGTTTGTTGAAATGGGTCTCACCATGTAGCCCAGACAGGCTTCAAACACTTAGTCTTGCTGCCTCTGCCTAATGAGTGCTGGAATTACAGGTTTGTACTGCCACAGCTGGTTAAGTGAAGGGTTTTCTAGATTACAGAACAGAATTTCTTGAAGGTTCTCTAAATACTCTCTAAATAAGAATGAAAACTAGTTGATTAATAATAGGAACAGAGCCAGGCATGGTTGGGCACATTTGGGAGATGGAGGCAGGTGATTTCCATGAGATCGAGCCAGCCTGGTCTACATAGTTCCAAGCCAGCTAGGGCTACAGGGAGACCTTGTCTCAAAAGACCAAGAAAAAAAAAAAAAAAAAATGAAATGAAATAATGTAAGCTGCTCACACTTAGCAGAGTCCGCCCTTGTGCCTCCCCCCCCCGTTCTACAGGGCACAACTTATTTTCTGCATTTGCTTTCTTGTCTGCTGAAAATCTTTTTAAGTGCTAAAATATACCTTGAATGCTTGCTTTTTAAAGAAAAGGGAGGGGCAGATGGGTCAATGGATAAGAGCACTTGCTATATAAACATTAAGCCGTGAGTTTGAATTCCTATCACCCACATTAAAAAGCCTGACCTAGCCGTGTGCCCCCAGAACCCCAGGACTGTGGTGGGCAGAAACAAGAGAATTGTTGGAACTTACTGGCTAACTCTAGGTACAGTGTAAGACCCTATCTCAAAGGAATGAGGCAGAGAGAGATAGAGCAAAATACAACATTTTCCTCTGGTCTCAGACACGGGAGTGCGCACACACATACACGAATGCAAACATAGACTTTGTATATTTATAAGCGAATGTACAGAACAATAAGCACTGTCCTGAGGCAAAAATTATTTGTGTGGGTCTGTTGAGGTGTGGTCTTGCTGTGTATCCCTGGTTGATACCAAGTTCACTGCAGTCTTCCTACCTTAGCCTCCTGGGTACTGGGATTTGAGATCTGTGCCACTATGTCTGGCTTGGGAAAAATTACTAATATTTGTCTGATTCTGGAAAACTGTAAGAACTATATGAATATAAAAAACATGTATTTAGGTCAGGCATGGTGCAGCAGGCTTGTAATCCTAGCATTCAGGAAGCAGGTGGTCTCCTCAAGTATCCTCTCTTATACCCCTGTCTCCCACTGAATCTCTTCTTCCCAAGTCCCCCTCTAGCATGGGTGGAGAAAGATGGAATTTTGAACCTAGCTATAACATTGTTCTGTCGGTTTAAGTCTGGTCCTTCTGTTCTCATGTGAAAAACTGACTTGAAGGACTATTGCTGCATTGGAGAACTTGAGCCAGGCTTTTATGAAACAGAAAATAAAGCTGGTATATAAAAAGAATAGTTATATAGCCAGGCGTGGTGGTACACACCTTTAATCCCAGCACTTGGGAGGCAGAGGCAGGTGGATTTCTATGAGTTCAAGGCCAGCCTGGTCTACATAGTGAGTTCCAGGTCAGCTGGGGCTACAGGGAGACCCTGTCTGAAAAAGCCCCCCCCCCCCAAAATAGTTATAATCAGTTTCAAGAGCTTGTTACTGAATGTTTCTAAAAGGATCCGTTTAGCAGCAGTCTAAGTACAGTCATTGAATACATTTCAGTCTGTTAGATGTATTTTCCTCGTTTTTCTGTTATATGACAAAATGATACTAAGCTCTAGTGGATTCAAAGATAAATTATAGGATTGCTTTTTTTACATTTAGAAAATGAATACTTAAAAAATTAGTTATAAAAAATGACTGGCCAATGGTGTCTACATGTAAAGGATGTAGGTGAAGGAACTGGCTTTTTTCCTTTTTAACCACAATAATCTAGAGATACAGGTATAAAAATATGGGTAATCTATGTCCTACAATAACAATCCTTCCTGTAATTTCTCTAAACAAACATTTCTACCTTTTTGTCCCTCTTTGTTTACTTTAATGCCCTCGATAGATTAATTTCATTGTTTCTGAATCTCCTTTTCCAAATATGAATCCCTCTTGTACCATTCTACTTTTTTGGTTTATTTTCTTTTTTTATGAAGTTCTTCATGGTTCAAAAAGTATTAATGGTGTTCTTTGCTTATTTAATTCTTTTCCGCACTAAACCAGACTTTGTATTTATGTTCTTAATGTTGGGATTTCTGTTCTCATTTGTAACTTGGGAATAATTTGGTGTAGGTCTTTTTTAGCTTTTTAAAAAAATTTTATTTAGTTTTTTATTTTATGTGTATGCGTGTATTGCCTGCATGTAGGTAAGTGCGCCTGTGTCGTGCGATGCCTGAAGAGGTCAGAAGAGGCTGTTGGATCCCATGGGACTGGGGTTACGGACAGTTGTTAGCTTCCATGTGGGTGCTGGGATTCGAATCCAGGTCTTCTGCTAGAACAACCAGTGTTCTTAACCTCTGAGTCATCTCTCCAGCCCCTTTTTTAGCTTCTTATGTTTGACTATATTGTTAGTCCTTTCCCTAGCAAATTTGTGACAGTTCACTATTTGTTATTAATTTTTTTAATAGAAGAAAACTGGAAATCTGAAGGCTTTTTAATGAAATTCAAGGAGCACCAAGATAAATACTCCAGTTCATTGGTATACATTAGCCACAAAAAAATGACTAACGAGAAGAGTAATATATATGAAAAGACATTTACTCTAGTGAAAAAGCCTGTTACCTCAAAAGATCTACCCCCTGAATATGATACTCACAGAAAGATTTTAGAAAATGTTTCAAAATTAATCAATAGGCATCTCAGCCCTGCAGAAAAGAGGCTTAGTGAGTATAATGGATATAAGAAATCATGCCCAAATAGAATGCAAGATATGACACATCTTGAAGTCAAATCCCACAATCCAAGTGGCAAGACTTTCAGTCACAATGATATGCTTATACAGCATGAGAAGATGGTAACTCCACCACAGTCATTTGTGTATGATGATTGTGAGAAAGCACTGCTTAGAAAAGGAAGCTTACTTACACAAACTAGAACATACAGACCGTCTGTATATAATAAAAAGAGAAAAGCAACAAATACTGAAAAAAAACATACATGCACTGAATGTGGAAAATCATTCTGCAGGAAGTCAGTATTGATTCTGCATCAGGGAATTCATACAGAGGAAAAACCTTATCAGTGTCATCAGTGTGGAAATGCATTTAGAAGGAAATCATATCTTATTGACCATCAGAGAACTCACACAGGAGAGAAACCTTTTGTTTGTAATGACTGTGGTAAGTCCTTCCGCCTAAAGACAGCCCTCACTGATCATCAGAGAACACACACAGGGGAGAAGTCATATGAATGTCCACAGTGTAGGAATGCCTTCAGATTGAAGTCACACCTTATTCGTCATCAGAGAACTCACACAGGAGAAAAACCATATGAGTGTAATGACTGTGGGAAGTCATTCCGCCAAAAGACAACGCTCTCTCTACATCAGAGAATTCATACTGGGGAGAAACCTTACATTTGTAAAGAATGTGGGAAGTCATTTCATCAGAAGGCAAATCTCACTGTCCATCAGAGGACTCATACAGGAGAAAAGCCCTATATTTGTAATGAATGTGGAAAATCCTTTTCCCAAAAAACAACTCTTGCTCTTCATGAGAAAACTCATAACGAGGAGAAGCCCTATATTTGTAATGAATGTGGGAAGTCCTTCCGCCAGAAAACAACTCTTGTGGCACATCAAAGGACACACACGGGGGAGAAATCTTATGAATGTCCTCATTGTGGGAAGGCCTTTAGAATGAAGTCATACCTCATTGATCATCACAGAACTCATACAGGAGAAAAACCATATGAATGTAATGAATGTGGGAAATCATTCAGTCAGAAAACAAATCTCAATTTACATCAGAGAATTCATACCGGGGAGAAACCCTATATTTGTAATCAGTGTGGGAAGTCCTTTCGCCAAAAAGCAACCCTCACGGTACATCAGAAAATACATACAGGGCAGAAATCCTATGAATGTCCTCAGTGTGGAAAAGCCTTTAGTAGAAAGTCCTATCTCATTCATCATCAAAGAACTCATACAGGAGAGAAACCCTATAAATGTGATGAATGTGGGAAGTGCTTCCGCCAGAAGACAAATCTCATTGTACATCAAAGAACTCACACAGGTGAGAAACCCTATGTTTGTAATGAGTGTGGCAAGCCCTTCAGTTATAAAAGAAACCTCATTGTCCATCAGAGAACTCATAAAGGAGAAAACATGGAACTATAATAAAGGAAGGAAGTGATTTCATTGTGAAGTCTTTCTAATCATTGTAAACATTAGTTTTGAAAAGCTTGCTTAAATATGTTAATTTTAATCATGAATGTAATAATAGTTATTAAAGTTCCATACCACATAACTATTTACTGTTTACTAGTATATGAAAAAGCTATGATCATTGTTGAACTGTGTCAGCTATAGAAGCTAATTTGTAAATTTCCTACTGTTCTGCTGACTTCAAAGGCTATATGAAAAAATACCGCCAATGGACTGGAGAGATGACTCAGCAGTTTAGAGCACTGGCTGCTCATGCTGAGGAACTGGGTTCAGTTCCCAGCACCCATGTGGCAACTAACACCCATCTGTAACTCCAGTTCCAGGGAATCTACCTGCCTATTCTGATCTGTGGCCATTGCACAATACAGGTGCACTTAGATACATGCAGGGAATACACATAAAATAAAAATAATATTTTAGAGCTAGGCATGCGCCACCACACCGAAGTGCATGATTTAAACTTTAGATAATTTTATCACTAATTTTTTATGACCTTTGTTTCATGGACCATTTTATTTATTTTTAATTTTTTATTGATTTTTTTGTGAATTACAGAAAATCATCTTCATATCCTCTCCCTTTGGCACCCTCCTATAGCCGCCCCCCCCCCCGCCGGAGTTCATATTTTGTCCTTTGTGTTAAGGCTTATCATATAAAGTTAGTGTCCCCAGATGTCCCTGAGTGCAAGTTTATCCACTGGGATCTAGTAGAGTCCCTCCCTTTATTAAGATGATCAGCTCTTTGTCACCCAGGAGTAATCAGCTGTCAATAATTCTTTGACTAAGATTGGGGCCTGCTGCTCATTTCCACAGTTCTGTGCTGGGTTTTTGCTTAAGTTTTCATGGGATTTCTGCATGCTGACATTTTATTTTATTTTTTGATTTATTTTTATCATATGTGTATCAATGTTATGCCTGCATATGTCTAAGTGCACCCATGTCATGTGATGACCACACAAGACAGAAGAGGGCTTTGGATCCCCTGGAACTGGAGTTATGGACGGTTGTTAGCTACCTTGTGGGTGCTGGGATTCAAACCCAGGTCTTCTGCGAGAGCAGCCATTACTTTTAACCACTGAGCCATCTCTCCAGCCCCAGAACATTTTGTTTTTTAAATTTATATTATATGTATGAGTGTACTGCCTGCATGAATGTAAGTGCACTCATGTACAATGCCCATAGAGGTCAGAAGAGGGCATTGGATCCTCTGGAGCTGGAGTTACAAATGGTTGTTAGCCACCACATGGGTCCTCTGCAAGAGTAGTCAGTGCTCTTAACTGCTGAGTTATCTCTCCAGCTCCTATATTTTTTAGTTTTTTTTTCAATTCACCACATATATCAATTCACCAGTTCAATTCATATAATGTGCTGAGACAAACTGATTTGAGATAATCCCCACCCCTTTTACAGGGCATATTCACTATGCTCTCTGTATATTGCTTAATTTGCCATCTTATATTTTCCCACTAAATATGTTAACACATAACAAGCTTTTACAAAAGAATATTTCTGTTGCAATTTGAAATTTCTGTTGTTGAAAAGACAGACTTTTTCAGTTCTACTATATTATCCTTACAACTCAGTCCTTGATACACACTGTTTTTGGATATAATGCCTTCGAAATTATTGCATTTGACAACTTGAAAAAAAAAAATCCCTACAAATTGAGCAGAATGTCTATTTACCTGGACAAAAAAGTAGTCATCTGTCCACCTTTCATTGAATAAGCTTTTTTTTTTCTTAATTTTTGTGTTCTGCCTCTTTTTGAGATGTAGAGGACATGCTGGTATTAAAAATAATAATAATAAGGAGCTGGAGAGGTGGCTCGTAAGTTAAGAGCACTTGCTGTTCTTCCAGAAAACCTGAGTTCAGTTCCCAAGACACATCAGGCTGTGGGCTCAAAATGACCTGTAACTCCAGCTTTAGTGGATTCAACACTGTCTTCTGGCCTCTGTGGACACTGCACTCATGCACAAACCAACACATAGGTATACACATATACATATTATGAAAACAAACTTTTTAAGATAACATCGTGTATGTCAGCATCAAGAGCATGAACTTTAGAACTGGAGAGATGGCTAGGTGGATAAAGCACTTACTGCACAACTGTGAGGACTAGAGTTTGAGTTCCCAGAACCCACATAAAAGCCAGATTGCCATTATAGCCTGACTGTAAACTTGCCTCTTGTGAGGTGAGACAGGATCCCTGGAACAAGCTGGCTAACCAGCCAAATCAGTGAGCTTCATTCAGGTTCAGCAAGAAACCTTGCCTCAGTTAAGAAAAGGGGATAGTTAACCAGAAAGATACTGACTTCATCCTCAGACCTCTGCACACGTGTGTGTAAGTTGCCATAATTTTAGTTTTACTTGAACTATTGATGTTGGTTTTCACCTTAAAGGCACATCTAACTCATTTAACTGAGCCATTAAATTCACTAGAAATGATCAGTCTGTAAGGCAAGTTTTCACTGTCAAATTCGGGCTCCAGTTTTGTGGGGGTTGTTTTGTTTTTTATCATTTTGATACAGGGTCTCCCTGTAGCCCCAACTGACTTAGAACTCGCTATGTTGACCAGGCTGGCTTCAAAATGTGGTATCCTTTGGAAAGTGTACCCATGTTGCGTAATGCCCACGGAGGTCAGAAGAGGGCATCAGATCCCCTGGCCCTGGAGTTATGAATGGTTGATAGCAGCCATGTGGGTGCTGGGAATTGAACCCAGGTCCTCTGCAAGAACGGCCAGTGCTCTTAATCACTGAGCCATCTCTCCAGCCCCAATTATATCATCTTGAACATAGAGGTAACCCTGTTACTATCAGAGATTATGCTTTTAGATGGTCATAGGTAACACTTGATAGGAGTGCCTTGTGATAATTTAGGGAATTATGTGCCTGGGTCACAATGATCATATGTTTCATTATTTTTACTTTATTTTCTGTGTTTGAGTATATTGCCTGCATGTATATAAGTGCATCTATGTGCAGTGCCTGCAGAGGTCAGAAGAGGGTGCTGGATCCCCTGGACCTGGAGCTACGAATGGTTGATAGCAGCCATGTGGATGCTGGGAATTGAACCTGGGTCCTCTGCAAGAGCAGCAGCCAGTGCTCCTAACTGCTCCTAACTGCTGCTGCTCCATCCCCCAATGTTCATATATTTTTTAAAATATCATTCTGGATTGTTGGAGTTATTTTTAGATGAGATTAACATTTAAATTGATGGAGCTTTTTTTAAGGCCAGGTCCTCATGTAGCTCAGGCTGGCCTCAAACTCACTATGTATCCAAGGCTGGCCTTGAATTCCTGATCCTTCTGCTTCTATCTTCCAAGTGCTTAAACCTCAGGCATATTCCAGCAAACCCAGTTAAATGATGGACTTTGAGGAGAGCAGATTACCCTGCATAAACTGGGCATCAGTCCATTGACATCCTTAATATAACAAAGATTAACCTCCTCTGTGCAAGAAAGAATTGTGTCTACTTTCGGACAAAGTGCAGCTCCTCCCTGGGTCTTCAGTCGGCTGGTCTACCTTGAAGATTTTGGATATACCAATCCCTGACAGTCATGTAATCTAATTCCTGAAAACCTCAATCCCCACTCTGCCCCTTTTGATCTGGAATATTCTCACAAAGATTCATGTGTTAAAGACTTGGTCCTCAGCATATGGTGTTCTTAGGAGGTAGGAGAACCTTTAGGAAGTGGAACCTTCAAGAAGACATTCAGTCCCACAGGGCCATGCCCTTAGGAGATATTGTAGCATCAATTCCTTGTCTCTTTTCTGTGTGTATGTGTGTGTGCAAGTGTACGTTCCTATGGGTAATTGGGGGAGGGGTGCATGTGGAAGCCAGAGGTCAACCTCCAGTGTTGTCCCTTAGGAGCCACCCACCTCGTTTTTTGAGACAGGGTCTCTCACTAGTCTGGAGCTTGCCAAAGCTAGGCTGGCTGACCAGTGAGCCCCAGAGATCCACCTGTCCCCATCTCCTCAGCACTCAGATTACAAGTGCACAGCACCGTGCCCAGCTTTTTATGTGGCTTCTGGGGAAATCAAACTCAGGTCTCATGCTTGTGAAGCAAATGCTTTCTCAACTGAGCCATTTCCCAAACCCTCTTTACCTTCTGTCCTCCATAAGGCCACAACTCTGCCTCCCCACACACTCCCTGCCACGATGTTATAGGTCCCAAAGCCATTCAACTAGCTGAGCCCAAATAAATCCGACTGGAGTCCTCAGTAGAAGAGGACATCAGGACACACAGAAAGATGCCAGGGATGCCAGGGCACAGAGAATAGACAGGTAAGCACATGGCAAGAAGGTGCTACTTACAGATCAAGAGATCTTAGGAGAATCCGTGTGTGTTGATGCTTTCACTTTGGACTTCCAAGGACCTGGCACCTGCCAGGTAATAAGCATCAAGGTGCTGGAATCTCAAGTGACCGCACATAGAAGACCGACAGTTAAGTAGAAAGTCACATAAGGCTGCTGAAAAGTAATGACGGAGGCCTCACAGGACAGGACACATCTGCATACCTTGGTTTAGCTGGGCCATGCAGCGGCTTAAGGAGGCCCCTTCACAGATCCCCCCGCCTAGGTGTGTGTCCACACCAGAAATGCTTCCCCATTCTCCTGTGTTGGGGGGTTGTGTAATGACACCAGTGGCACGCAGACTTCCTCGGGCAGCTCTGTACTGTCACTGCCATATCTCCAGGGCCTAAGCACACACCAGGCTCTCGGTAAGTATCTTCTGAGGAACTGGCTGACTACCAGGGAGGGAGGTTGCAATTATAAGCCATGTTCAAACTTCATCCCACAGGCAGAAGGAAGAATAGCATGGTTACCACAGGGTGGCAGGTTATGATGTCACATACCCCAAGCACCCCAGAGGAAGTGGATTGGGCAGAGAAGGGTCAAGCTGATGAAGGGGTTGGCGCATGACTCTGGACAGGAAGCTAGGCCTGAGCACTGTGGACCCAGAGGTGTTGAGGAAGCAGAATCAGGCCTTAGTGAGTGGATGTGGCAGAGGGAGGGACAGAAGGGTGAGGGGGACTCAGGGTCTGTGGAGGTGGTTGATTGGTAAAGTGTT